TCTCTCTCTCTCTCTCTCTCTCTCTCTCTCTCTCTCTCTCTCTTTCTCTTTCTCAAAAATAAACATTAAGGGGCACCTGGGTGGTGCAGTCGGTTAAGCGTCCGACTTCGGCCAGGTCACGATCTCGCGGTCCGTGGGTTCGAGCCCCGCGTCAGGCTCTGGGCTGATGGCTTGGAGCCTGGAGCCTGTTTCTGATTCTGAGTCTCCCTCTCTCTCTGCCCCTCCCCCGTTCATGCTCTGTCTCTCTCTGTCCCAAAAATAAATAAACGTTGAAAAAAAAATTAAAAAAAAAATAAACATTAAAATAAAATAGAATCATCAGTACCTTTGAAGCCTGTTTTACATCCCACCCCAATTACATCACTTGCCCTCACAGTTCATGGTTACCCTGAATTTTGTGTTAATTATTCTTTTGCCTTTGTGTTTAAACAGCCATTTGTGTGTATCTCTAAAAAGTTTTGCCTATCATTTTGTATGCTATGTGAATCATATTGTTCTGCTTTCAACAATTATAATTGTAACATTCATCCATGTTGATAATATTTATTTACTGTTTTGTTTTTTTAAATTATTTGAATGTTTATTTTTGAGAGAGAGCAGAAACGGGGAAGGAGCAGAGAGTGAGAGAGAGACAGAAGATCCCAAGTGAGCTTTGTGCTGACAACAGAAACCCCGATGTGGGGTTCGAACTAACAAACTGAACCGTGAGATCATGACCCAAAGTCAGGTGCTTAACTGACTGAGCCACCCAGGTGCCCCTTATTTACTGTTTTATAGCATTGTGTTGTATAAATGTAACACGGTTTATTATTTCTAATATTGGTAGACCTAGTTTCCAGTTATTTTGCTCTGAAAAAGTAATGTTGTTGCTATGAACTTCCTTATACCTGGCTTCTGGTACACAGGTTAAAGAGTTTCTAGGGGGGGCGCCTGGGTGGCTCAGTCGGTTAAGCGCCCGACTTCGGCTCAGGTCATGATCTCGTGGTCCGTGAGTTCGAGCCCCACGTCGGGCTCTGTGCTGACAGCTCAGAGCCTGGAGCCTGTTTCAGAATCTGTGTCTCCCTCTATCTGACCCTCCCCCGTTCATGCTCTGTCTCTCTCTGTCTCAAAAATAAATAAACATTAAAAAAAAATTTTTTTTAAGAGTTTCTAAGGTATGTACCTAGTGTGGACTTGTTGGGATATGTGTGCATTCAACTTTATCAGATAAGGTACAGTTGTTCTACAAAATAGTTTACCAATTAATATTCCCAGTAACAGTGAATAAAAGCATTCGTTGATCCATATTCTCTCCAGTGTTTGATATTGTCAGATTTAATAATTTTTTTTAATCCAGTTGTGTGTATGATATATATCCTTTTTATGCATCTTTTCATTTATTTAACAATTATGTTTTTTCTATATAATGTCAATGTGTTCTCATTTTTTCTGTTGGTTTGTCTTATTGATTTACTGGAATTCTTTATATATTTTGGAAAGAGATTTTTGGCTTATATGAATTGTTGATCTCTTTCAACTTTAGATGGCTCTTTGTTTCACTCTCTTTGGGACGTCTTGTTGGACAGAAATTCCTAATGTCAAAATTACTCGGTCTCTGCCTTTATTATGATTTGCACTTTTTTTTCTTTTGATTTGCATTTTCTTTCATTTAAGAAATTATTCCCTACTTCTGGGCTCATAAAGATAGTCATATTCCACTTTTCTATATAGGTCTGGCTACATTATGGGACCTTTTTCACTTTTGTCTTTGCCCCTCTTACTAGCTTTATAATCAATTTTGATAACTAATGATAGTTAATATTTTTGGTGTTAAATGGTACACATAGTATTGTATAAAATATATGTTTAGTAGCCAACATGTACTTAATAATAAAGATGGGGAAAATTTGAGAAGTGGAGGTGAATAAATACTTAAATACAGGAAATGGATTTGTTTCAGTGAGCGAAATCAGAAGTAATTTCTTTAGGACTCATTAAAAATCAAAATAATTAGCCCTTTAAAAAGCATTATTAGTTTAAAATAAACTGCCTGCAATCCTAGACTTTCTTCTAAATCTTGAAGAGTGGCGAAGACATAATCTTAATGATACATTTTTCCATGATCTTTAGGGCTCTTTGTTTTCAGTTTTAGCCT